GAAACCCCTACCCCGGCTTGGGCCCCGGGGATCCCCGCGTGACAACCCTGGGGGGGGGGGGGTCCGGAGCCGGGGCCAGGGGTGCCCACCCTCGGACCCCCGCACCCCCGCCAGGGCTCGACAACCCTGACGGCGGCACTCTCTTCCTGCTCTTTCGTATAGTGGGTGGTGCTCGCACCGCTACGCGTGTCAACCATGGTGATAGGTGTACAACCGGATGACAGTTCCACTCCTCACCACTTGGACTCTCACCCCCTGAGTGACTTAACTTATGACTGACTTACTAAGGACCACAGAATCCTTGGAGGAGCATGTGAACTATGGTCTCTAGCCCGACTCTACTTCTAGGCTGTCACTACAGGACTTATTGCTGATCAGGAGGCATTTAAGGAGATCCCCCGTAACTCCTCAGGAATTATTTAACGTCGCAAACAGGACGACGCAATCAGCAAGTCCTCTCCAGACATAGACAGCTCGTTGTGCAGCCCACAGCTCGGAGTTTGGGCCTACCGTGCCACACCGAGCAGCCCGCCGGTCTGTACCGGTCCTTGGGAGAGTTCGTGCCCTCTGGGTCAGTCAATCATCAGACACAGCCTTTAGCCCTACTCAGCCCATGTGGGAGGCTCTACGACCTCATACACAAAGTTCCTATCACCTGGACAGAAGAGACTCAAAGCAAAAAGAAGAGACAGACAGACTCAGCAAGTACCATGGGGTGTGTGCACATCCATAGGGCGAGGGGCTAGGCTGAAGGCTTCGCGAGAGTATACCAACTCCAGTTTGGTCAAACTTCGTGGTCAACAGCTCCGGTCAACGCCCTGGTCATCACCTTGGTCAACACTAGTCAACGCCCCGATAACTCCTTGGTCAACGCTGGTCAACACTTTGGTCAATTCCTCAGTCAATGCCAGCATGCACCCCGGTCAACGCTAAAAGACACTTGGTCAACTTCGGTAAACGCCTGGTCCACGCTGGTAAGTACCTCGGTCAACTTTGGGTATGGCTTCCAACCCTCCTCCTTACTTCACTTCACCTTCCTTCTTCGTCCTCCCTCGGCTATGGCTTCTTTCTCGCCTTCGTCTCTATCTTCTTCACCCCCTGGTATGGTTTCTCTTTCTCCCTTCTTTGTCTCTCCTTCCTCCTCCACCTCAGCTATGATTCTCTCCCTCTCTTCGTCCCTTCTCTCTCTCTTCTTTACTCGTCTCCTCCGTGTCCGAGCTCGACGGCTATGGCCGCCACCTTCTTCCTTGGACCGCACAACAACCTTGTATCGCTCCTCTCTCTCTCTTTCTCGCACAACAACCTTGTATCGCTCCTCTCTCTCGAACTCTAAAACACCCTCAGGCCTCTCTCTCTCTCTCTCTCTCTCTCTCTCTCTCTCTCTCTCTTCGTCGTTGTCTTCTGTGCAGGTTCGCGGCACCCGCCTTCAATGCGCAGCTATGGCGGACCCTCCGCCTTCATTGGCGCAGCTACAGCCATGGCGCCCAACTTTCACAACGGCGATGGCGCGTGGCGTAAGGGGAACCAGCTCCGATACCAATGCAATCAAACTCGCTTTCTTCTTCGCTTCACAAACATGCAAACAGATGGCAATTCACACTGGCGCACAGCGCCCACTCAAAACTCAGAGATATGGAAATCGAGAACACAGTTTAGATGCAAACTTGCTTCAACAGGCTATGGCGCACCAGCGCCTGTACAACCCAACTCTCGATACTGTTTCCAACACCACTGTTCGCACTCACGCAACTCTGGATCACCCTGAATACTCCACACACGTTTACTGTTACACACACTCACACACTAACACCTCTCTCCTATCTACAGCGGCTATGGCCGCTCAACTACTAACTATCGCTACGCTATCTTCTTCTGGCCCACTTTGACTTCGGGCGCTCTGTAGACCACCTCGCACAAGACGCTTGAGACAGCGCTTCCGCATGGCTTACGCAGCGAATGAATGAATTGCTGGACGCTGCCTCTTGATTTATACTTCTGTTGGTCACTGGTCTGCCCCTTTCCTCCAGGCCCTTGGTGCACACAGTCCCACACGGTACTTGCTTGACTGGACTGCGATTGACTGGGACCGGTACCGCTGACTGCACGGGGTTGCACTGCCAACTCGACGCAGTCGCACTGCCTACTCGACGCAATTGGACTTACGACTTACCTACAGACCTCTAGCCTAGCAGTTTCGACCTCTACACAGATGTACCCCTACTTAACAGATCTGCAGATCGAACCCCACAACTACAGGGACCTGTGACAGAGAACAGTTACTACTAAAACACAGGTCGCGAGCTCGAAACACACAGGGGTCTACTCGATACTGTACACGGGTGCAGGTAAGGTCTAGGGATCAAACCCTGGGATCTGCATCTGCTTCTGCAAAGGTGGAAACCATTTCACGTGGAGAAGATTTTCTGAAAATTAACAAGCGACTGCCGGTTGCTACCTTACTCAACAAGGCAGTCATGCAACACTACCTTCTTCACCCGAATACAACGCCCGGTCATTATCACTGGTTCTGGACAGCAACTTGGCCCTAATGCAGCTATAATGACCGGGCGTTCTATTCAGGTGAACACGGTAGCTGAGGGAAAAATTTTCGGCACGAACTTAGAAAGACAAAATATCTTGACGGTGATGCCAAAAAGAACAAAAGAGCATTCCAATATCAGAAGTCAAAGAAGAAGTTGCTCCAAAAGAGGGGAAATTCAGAGGATGATAAAATGAAAAGGCGGAGTGGGTGGGCCTGGCAGCGGGGAAACACGCACCACTAAAGATCCAATGGGTCCAATTGGTTGCCTATGAAAATTTCGTTTCCGGCGTTCAATTTCACGCAAAAGTCCCGGCACATTCCTCCCGAACCCTGTTACCTGACTTGAAAACAAAACAAACACAGCCACCAGTATTACGGATAACATAATTAGGGAACCTAGCAGCGAGCCTGTGGTTTGGAATGCCTACCTCCTCCTTTCCCTTTCCATTCTTTCTTCTCATTGTCCCCTTTCCCCTATCCTGGATTGTATTGCATACCACTGGGCCTCCTTCCACTGCCCAACCTCCTAAGTGAATCTGGTCCTGAAAACCATTCAGGGACATTCGAATTGTCGCTTTTCAGGCTGGATGTATACAGAAAACAGTCCAGATAAGTGTAGAACGTTGAGTAGTGGAGCAGGCCCACTCTTTCAGTTACATTTCCATTGCATTGCTGACTACAGACTGTGCACACAAAGGAACTGACATTATGAACCGCCACGAAGTTGCCACCACAGCAAAGCAACCAAAATCTATTGGGGAATTAGGAGTAGTCTTTCCTCTCTTTTATTCTTTTGAGGAAAGGAGAAAGGAAGTGTCCCTTTTGGCCACTTCAACTTTCCATTCATGGGGAGCAACAACCATGCTCACCGTCTATTTATGAATTGTGGAATCCACCATAGGGATAACAGCTTGTATTCATTCAGTCATTTCATTTCGGTTGAATTCAATCCATGGTCCTTTGCCTGGTGTCCCTTCTGAGTGGTTGGTGATTGCTGCAATTGCTAGGGACTGCCGTGTTTGTTCTTTCATTTCTTATTTAAACAAGTGGACCCGGCCACGGCTACGCCGTGGCGCACAGCAACAGTCGCTGATGGCGTCTTATGACGTCTGCTCTGTCTGTTTCTCTCTCTCTCTCTCTCTCTCTCTCTCTCTCT